GCACAGGACCAGGCAGTGTTTCGTTCTGTTGTACGTGGGGTCATCACTAGGAGTTAGAACCGACTCAATGGCACCTAACAACAACAACAATAGGCTTTCCGTTTCTTTGGTTAATTTGAGTGCTTAAATTGGATTAGGACACCTAACTACAAATGTGACAGAAATGTAAACATAACATTTTCTTTTTTTGTTATTCCTCAATTTTTTTTTAAAAATTGTTGTTTAGGTGAAAATTTCCAGAGCAAATCAGTTTCTTATTAAACAGTTAATACACATTGTTTTGTGACACTGGTTGCCAACCCAGTGATGTGTCAACACTCTCCCCTTTTCCACCCTGATTTCCTTGTTTCCATTCATCCAGTTTTCCTGTCCCTTCCTGCCTTCTCATCTTTGCTTTTGGGCTAGTGTGCCCATTACCCTCATATGCATGACTGAACTACAAAGCCCATTCCTCACATGTGTTACTGTTGGCCCTATAAATCTGTCTAATCTTTGACTGAAGAACAGTTTCTAATTGGATATAATGAGAAGGAAACAGAGGAGAGAAGAATAAATACTTTGTATTATTTGATACATGTTGGGAGCCCAACCACCAGGGAATGTATCTTTAAGCCACCTTAATTTTTTATGTCTCTGATTCATGTGGAACAAGAAACAGGTTGACGCTGACCTGTGTGTGGTTATCTGTCTCTGTTATTACTGTGGTTACACAAATGGATTTTTATTTTCTAGCAATTTATTGTTTGCTTCTCCTTTGTGCCCAGCCCAGATACCAAAAATCTAATTCTCTAATGACATTATTATCTCTATAGCAGCTGGTTTTGATAGAGGATTCTAAATCCAGTGAGGTCAGCTGTAGCAGCAAATGAATTTAGGAGAAACAGAGATCTCATTCTACATGTGTCATACATTCTTTTTTTTTTTAAGTATGAGATATGGAAATGATTTTAAAAACCTAGTATGATAAAGTTTAGAATTTATGTAACATTAAGAATTACTCTGTGGGTATTCTGGATTTTTAAAACACAACACTAATATCTCAAGTTCAGATGGAGGACCTAGAGAGCTGTGCTGCTGAACGCAGCTCACTGATTGCCCTTGCCTGAGAGGGTCAGCTGTATTAGAACTGCTTCTCTGTGCACCACCACATTCTCTTTCCGCTCACCTTGTCCTTCTTCTTGGTCTGTCTTCATCTCTGTTCTCTGTGTGCTCCATCTCTTCTGTTGAGCCCTTCCCAATCTTAGAATTCAAATGAGAGACTGATGGGAAAGGTTTTATTACTGCTGAAGGTCCTGCGGCGTTCATAGGGATAGTGGTGGGAGTTCTGAGATTACATGGACATCTTATATTTTCTGAAAGGATAGGACATGCTGGGTTACAGGAGTAAAAGGGTTTTGAAAGTCACTGAATAGAAAAATTTAACTGTTTCTGGAGCCTCACTTTAAGAATTCAAGAAAACTCACTAAGGAACCAATTTTTAATGCTAATTTAAAATATTACCATTTAAAAGGGATTTTGACTATCTGAATAATGTTGGAACAACTGGTGGCATTGTTTGGTTTGGTGAATCCTATAACGAATCCAGTAATATACAGAGATGGCATTGCATGCACCCACTCTTAATGAGATTGTACTATAACAGAAATATTTCTCTCCTTCACTCCTTACCCAAAGCCTGGTTTCCTCCTTTTGCAGTTCCCAGAAAGCTTTCTGCCTGCCATTTGGTTATTGCTGCCACCTAGTGTCTCAAAATAAAATTGGGTTTGCCTTTTCAAAAGATTCGCACTATACTGCTGTTTGTGGAAATAGCTATTTGAAAGCAACAGTTGTTTTTCTCTATACTCATAAATGATAGCACTCTGAAGTGATTACTTATTATGGAGAGATTATGGGTAGCATGCATTCACAAGCAAAATGAGGAACTAATAAAGCAGAAGAGATTCTTAGAGTCCTGGAGAGAACACAAGGGATTTAGGAATCCTAATCTCTAGTACAGGACAGACTGCCAGTATGACCTTGGCATGCACTTACCCTCATAAAATTGAACTTGATGCTCTGAAAGATCTAGTCCAGCTTTAACTTTTTTTTCCTGTATGCATTTTTCGTTGTAAAAGCATATCCGTTACTCATAACGACCCCATAAGGTTTCCAAGGATTTAAATCTCTACCGAAGCTGACCACTACCTCTTTGTCCCGCAGAGCCACTGGTGGTTTCAAACTGCCGACCTTTCAGTTAGTTGTCAATTGCTTTAACCACTGCACTATCAGGGCTCCTTATTCCTTATACATGATCTATTTATTTCTTTGAGCTGAAGGTCTCAGTGTTAAACATGTTAAACATGTTTTCTAATACAGCTATGTTAAGTAGATGTTTACATTTTCATTATGTGAATAGATAGCTTTGATAGCTTTCCTTTGCTCAATTAGCAGAGACAGAGCTGAAGATTTCCTGTCGTTAACACAGCCTTAACCAGAGTAACACTTCCCTGCTCGTTTAGTTGTGCATGGGCTTCCTTAGCTTGACTTTGTACTTGTGGTGTGTGTTAAAATTGCAAAGTCTGGACTGCTTACAAAGTTCGCAATTTTCTTTTTAAACCAAAATCTGAATTTTAAAAGATTTATAATGATACTGTTTTCGTTAACGTTTTGAAATATATCATTAATATTTCCATGGGTTAGAAAGAAATCTGAAGACAAAGTGTTCTAAATATGGGAGAGAGATGGGAGATATACCTGGTGGAATTTTTTTTTAATCCTGACTGTTGTTATAATTTGGCAAAACCTTGTCTCTGAGGATTCTATTATCTCGCACTGACTTTGTAAAGAATATATAGTTATAGTCTTTGTAAAGAATATTTTGCATTTTAACAGATATTTAGGTGTTGCTGTTTCTTTCAGTCGCACTGTAAATAAATTATTCATTTATACTTCTGTAGATGATTGAAGCGCAAGTGAACATAAAGCCTCACTTTCAACTAGTTTTGGCTTAATTGTTAACAGATCTTTTACAGAATTGATTCCTAGGATCCCTGGTGGGTAGAGACCCTATTAAATAGGATAAAAATGGACTTGGACCTGCTGTTATTAATTATGTTTAGATACTATCCCTATTCAGATGGGCATGGATCCTAATTAAATACAGTTTGCTTCACCATAATCCTTTGCTTACAGATTTTCAGACAGGTTTCAATGATCTTGTTAAAGCCATCCCGACCGAATTTTGCAGGTGAAATCTTGAGAATCACAGCCCCAAGTGACTGGGTTGCAGCTAAATATAGAAACTTTATTGAGTTCCTTTGAGCTACTAATTTTGTTAGCCCATTGAAAAAGTTACTTTTCCTACTATCTGGTTTATCTGGCACAATTTCTTATAAGCTTTAGTTGACTGATCATAATTTCATTATCTTTTTGCCACTGAAATTTTTCTTTTCTAATACTTTATAGTTTTATTAAACATTGCTATCAGATTTCTGTTTATTATCCAATTATTCCTGATATTTTTCTGAATTGCATACTGGATGAAGGCATATGACAACTTTAGCATAGTGGTTAAGAGCCCAGATTCTGAAGTAAATTCCCAGAGTTTGAATCCCAGCCTTACTTTGCTCTATGACCTTGGACAAATCATTTAACCTCTGTGAAATTCAGTTTCCTAATTTGTAAAAGAGAGATAATAATAGGAACTACCTAATAGGGTTGTTGTGATGATTAAATGTGTATGTGTATTAAAATATATAACTACATATACACATATATATTTATATATCATCAATAACAGTCCCTGGTACCTAATAAGCCCTGGATAATTGTTGGCTTTATTATTATAGTCTGTAAATTCTGGAAGAAGCAAGAAAAAACTGAATAAAGAACACCATTAATAAATCAACTATAATTTATGAGGGTGTAGATGACTTAAATGGATGCCAGGGAGCCCCAGATCATAATTTGTTGGTCTGAATACATTTAGATTATCCATTAGATGATTTACTTAGCTAAAATAAATTCCAAGCTATTTTATTTATTTAGATACCTGCAAATGCTCCTTTTTCTGGGTTTGTCTTTGTCTTTCCAGGGCCTAGGAAATCTGAGTACTAAAATCATGTACCTAATTACATATACATGTATTCATATCTTCTTGATTGTCTTGTAACCCCAGCCTTAGGTTAGGTGATGGTGGGGAATCAAGGCAGATTAAGATATGACCTCTTACTTTCCAGGCCTTATGGGCTAGTATGGGGTTGATGATATCAGAGACCACTTAGTCTGACCGCCCCCTCTTGGGCTCCACAAAGATGCCTTCCCTTATTTCCCAGATGAGGTCAGGCTCTCCAGGAATAGGCTCCCTTGGCATTCTGTACTTTATAATGACATAATTGTTTAATTCTTTTTGTTTAGTGTCTTCCTACTAGATTATATGCTCCACGATGCCAGAAACTATCTTTTTCTTTCTGGTTTTTCTAGTTCTTAGCACATGTCTTGCCCACAGGTGTGTGGCAAATATCTGTTGAATGAATAAATGAGCTCTCATTTTAGAGATGAAGAATCTTAGGTGCATGTCTTAGGTAACTTATCCCAGGTCATACATTTTCTGAAACACTTAAAACTAGAACTCAAGTTTCCAGTCTCCTACAGTACCTTCTGCTCTTTCTACTATGCTATGAAAATTTAAGATGTAAAGAGGGATTATGTAATATCTACCAATAACTGTACTACAAAGGTAGAATATGCATATTCCAAGGGACTGTGGTAACTGAGAGGAGAATATGAGTCCCTTTGTCAGGGATTGGGTGGGACGCACAGAAAGGCTTAATGAAGGAGGTGACAATTGAACTGGACTTTTAAGAATGGGTAGAAAGCTATGGGAAAGGTCACTTTCCAGCCATAAACAGTATTTTCTGTAATTGTATATATCATTTTAGTCTTAATATCTTCAATCCTATTATTTTAATACATCTTTAAAATATATTAATTAGCCAACTAATGATCTTGTCTTATTTCAGTGAACAACGTGGGAATGTCATATGAGTATCCTGAATACTTTCTGGATATTCCTGACTTGGATAATGTGAGTTTTTCTTGTATGTTATGGTAACAAAAATAATGCATGCAGGCATTGATCAGGCAGTAGAGTATAATGATTAAGATTATGAGCACTAGAGCCCAGCTGCCTGAGGGTTCACACTCTGGCTTTTCTGCTGACTACCTGAGTTACCCTGGGGATGATCTCAACCACAGAATGTCAGTTCCCTCGTCCATAAACAGGCAACTCCATAGGGATGCTGGAAGGATTAAATGAGAAAATATAACCTCATTTGTACAGGGCCAGATTCAATAATAGCTCTAGTTATTATTATCATTATATCAAAACAGCTCTGCTTTAAGTTTTAGGATCCTAAGGATCAATTTAAAAGTCATAAATATGTTAATATAGCAATATGGTTGATTCAGATGGACCACCTCTACCAAACTGAAAGCTATATCCTTAAAGCATGTATAATCCTTTAATAAAAACTAGAAAAGCATGTTATTGAAGGGACATGTAAATTTTTAAAAATTATTGAAAATCTTACAGACAATAATTTCTGTTCTCCATATTAACAGAGCAGAAATTGCAAGTGTTCAGTTTATTTTACATTTAGTGTGTCTTTTTGCTTCCAGATTTAACTTGCGCATATACCTTGGATTTTACACGTTAGGATGAATCGCTGCTGTTGGTAGAAAAATACTATAGTACTGCAAGTAAAATAAAATCTGCCCCTCTACCCCAACTCCTACCATTTTTCCAAGGTCTTGGCAATATCTAAGAAACTTTCGACACATCCTTAGGTTACTTACATATATTTCTAATATGGTCACTTCCATTTTCAAATCTACATAATGCTGTCAATATTTTTTTGCAGACCATCAGGAAACTGATAAATATCAATGTTGTTTCTGTTTGTAAGGTAAGCAGCCCTCTTTATAAATATGTCATACTTTTCAGTGCTTTCTATGTAAACATTGGCATAATCAGTTTGTTCACTTCAGTCAACTATTGTTCAGATGTAGGTATGTTATTACCCCTTGTGGCTACCTAGATGTCTGGGAGAATGCTCAGAAATTCTAATTAGTTATAACATCCTTATTTAAGCCCTATAATTAGGTAGATACTGTTTTGTTTTTTACCATACAGTGTTTTCCAAAGCCAGTGAAAAATGGCATTTGAATTATTTATGCTTTTCTTCCCCTTCATTAGCACAGGCTGAATTTGGAATAAGGGTAAGGAAGCACTTTTTCAAATCCATAAGAAGTCTAAATGTAGAAAGATACTGTGTAGGTTGAAACATTGTATTAGATTAATAGCACTATAGTGTAAATACTTTTAGTTTAATTTAAATTTAGTGATTTCTTAGTATGAAACGCCAAACTTCTGCTTTGGGACAAGAAGCTGGTTCCTTACTTCTTTGCAAACAACAACAAAAATAAAAGCAACTTTATTTTTTAATTTTAAAACTAACATGTACCCATTGTAACAAAGCAATCTAGTAATGTAGGAAGTAAACAGTGAAAGCCCCCCTTCCACCTGTACCCTCGCCTACTCCATTTATATTAACAGGCAGACAGATTTATTGTTGTGGTATGTGTATTTTTTTCCCTGCTATTAAAAACAATTCTTCAGTGCTTGTGCACACTTAAATGAGTGGCTCTGTAGGACAGATTTACAGAAGTGCAATTGCTTGGCTAAAAGGTTTTTACATTTCAAATTTTGTTGATGTCAAATTGCCTTCCACAAAACACTTGTTCTAATTTGCATTTTTACCAACATTATACCAGAATGTATTTTTCTACATTCTTTTTTACATTAGATATAATGAATTAAGAGTAAATTTATCTGTCTATTCAGCAATGAGTGGCATATTACTTAATTGCATTCTTTTAATTATTCTTTGAGTGTCCCTCCCAGTGTCTCTGTATTTATAATGTGAGTTGCTTTTTCTTGTCTTTGCCCATTTCTATTAAATGATTTGCCTTTTTAAATTTATTTGTTAGGGCTCTTAACATGCATTTTGGATCTTAACACTGTTACATATTGTGCAAATATTTTCTCCCAGACTCATTTTTATATCTTAACTTTGGTTATGGTCTCTTGTCATATATAAGTTTTATTTTTTCACATGGTAAGCCTGACTGTCTTTTTCCTTTGTGGCAGCCAGGTTTTGTGTTCTGCACACGAATCTCTTCCCAATCTCCAAGATAAAATAATTTTATAAAAATATTCTCCTTTATTTTCCTTAACTTAGCTTTATAGTTTTGTGGTTTTTTTTTTTTTTTTGGCTTGTTTGTTTGGATCATTAAGCCATCTTTTTTTTTTTTGGTAAAGGGTGTGAAATAGCAATCTAATTTCTAATTTAATTTTTTTTTCCAAATGGATAACTAAGTGATTAAGTTTTCAATTATCTGTCCTTTTCCCACAATCTGGAAATGGAAATTTTATCTTTTCTGTTCCATTTGTCTATTTTTTTCTTTTCTTTTGCTCTATTTTGATTACCTGTTGTTTCATATCTATTAGACATGTCTTTCCCACATTTAAAAAATTTCTTTGTCATCTTAATTTATTCTTCCAGATCACCTTGTGACTGAACTTGTCAAGATCTCCTTACTACATATGCATGCATATACACACTTGCAACTTCATTAAGACTTTTGTGAGAATTGCATTAAATTTTATAGATTAGTGTGAGAGAATTGGCATCTACAATATTGTATCTTTCTAGTAAAATAGCATACTTTATTTATTCAGGCCTTTTATGTTTTTCCTGAAAGTTTTGGAATTTGCTCCGTATCAATCTTACACATTTCCTATGTTTCGTCATAAAAATTTTATAGTTTTTGTCACTATTGTGAGATCTCTTTCTCATTAAATTTTCTAACTTTTTTAATTATTATGTAGACTTTTTTTAATGCTTAATTTATATCTGGTCATCTCATTCCTCTCCCTTCCCATGATAATAATAGCTAACTTTTTTAGTATTTACTATGTGCCTGCCGCTGTTTAACCGCTTTAGCTGTTTCTTCTGATACTTATCACTGTACTTCTAAATAGTATTAAAAACCTGAACCCATTGCCGTCGAGTCGATTCCGGCTCATAGCTACTCTATAGGACAGAGTAGAACTGCCCCATAGGGTTTCCAAGGAGTGGCTGGTGGATGCTAATTGCCCACCTTTTGGTTAGCAGCCAAGCTCGTAACCAGTGTGCCACCAGCGCTCCAAAATAGTATTTATGTCCTATTGATTCTTAAATTCATCAATTTAGGCATTTCTACTGATTTTCTGTTATTGTAGAAGTGATCTTTATCCCCATCATTGCCTCTTCCCCATCTCTTAATCTCCCAATATAATTCTTTCTCAAATTTTTATTAAATCTATTCATTGTTTTTAGTGTTAGGACTATATAAATATTGTTTCTTGCTAAGCCAAATTTTGGGCCATGATAACATTTCCTTTTGTGTATAACTGTTAGTTTGTCCTGGAGTTAATAACTGCTTAATTTAAAAAATTTTCTTAGTTTATATGAATCTCTGAGTTCTCCTGTACCTCCAGCAGCTCTGTAAAATGCCTTGTAATGTAATTTTCTTCAGTATCATTTTATTGGTTTTGATTTTTCTCCTGGAGGCACCCATCCAATAGTCTTCTAACATCCTGTTTCAATCTAACCAGGCTATTCAAGCATCTGTTTTTGTTCTCTAGTTGTTCCTTTTTTATAGCATCCTGTTCTTGTTTCATGGGTATAATAGTTTATCTTTCTAAGGTTCCTAATAAGATCTTATTTGCTTTTGTAGCTTTCTTCTGCTCCCTGCATTGTTTCTGTTTACTCAGGTTTCTTTTATCTTATCTTGGTCTCTATTTTCATATTAGAAGTGTGACCCAAAAGTCTGGTGATTGTTGGCTATTTTTTCATATTTGAGAGTGAGGTTTAGAAACCCAGGCTACATTGATGGAGCTTTAAAAATGGTGGATTTCAGTGTAGGGTAATAAGGTAGCCAGTTGGATTTTTCCAAGAGTTTCCCCAACTGTGAGTATCTTATGATCTTCTGTCTGGGGCTTCTTTGGGTTTCCAAGCAGAGATCCTCCATTTTCCTGCCTGCAAAGTGTAATTAGACTGGCCACTGGATGTTCTGGAAATGAAAGAGGGCTGGGAGGGAGGAGGAGGTGGTTAATCTGTGTTCACTACACAGGGATGGGCAGAGACCTGAGCGATTCTTATGGAGGCCTTTAAAAATTCCTCTTTTTCTGGATCTTCTCCTGGCCCCCTTCTTTCTTCTGGGATATTTTATACCTCCGTTTATACCTCTAATTCCTGACCTGTTCTAGGTTCTTCATAGCACATTGGCTTGCTTTTCATTGGTGCCCTGTGCTCCCTTGCTGGAACTTTTAGGATTGAGCATCCTCTGCTCCCCTGAGCCTCTCACTACTTAATGTTGTGGGAGCATGGTGGTATAGGTATATCCTAGCTTTATTAAAGATGGAATTTTATTTCCTCTTCTACTTATGGTTTTTGGATAATGTTTGTTGGAGAGAAGGAAATAAAACTGTTTTCTTCCACCAGCTCCAAATTGAAAGTCTCAAAGTAGAGGTTTTTTTGTTTTTGTTTTTGTTTTTTTCGTGTAAATTGAGATTTTAGCAGTACTTTTGTGGAGTAAAACTCATTCTTCACTGTTTACAAGGTTATTTCTGAGTTATAAAATATATCTACCCTTCCTTTTCCCCATTTTTAGTAATCCCTATATTCCCTCATTCAGTTTTGGCTGCCACAATCAGACAGAAAGTGCAAAGAATCTTTTTTTTTTTCTTGCATCTGTAGTGGGGGAAAGAAGAATAATTTTAATATGCAAATGATTAGATTTTTTGACTTTCTGGTTAACTTTTAGTTTTATTCCATTGAGGTATGGGGAAATGGTCTATTTCCTTATGTCTTCAGGAAGTAGAAAGACCTGAGCACCAAACAGATGTCTGTATTTTTTTTGCTTTTTGACGACTGAGTATTTATTAAATACCTCCTATGTACAACTACTATGGTAGGCACTAGGACTATAGAAATAGTCTGAAGATTAATTTTTATAATGTTTTCATCTACATGAAATTCATCACTGATAAATTGTTTCATTTTGTCTCCCCTGTGATACATAAGTTGATGAGTTAAGTATTGTAAGACAAAAGCATTGTATAAGGAGTTTGGGATTATAAAGTAATGAGAGTGACTTTCGTTAGCCCCAAAAACTAGTCTAGCTGCTTCATAGCCATGTCACCTATGTGCTAGCAAAAGACTAACTCAACTAATATCTGCTATAAGAAAAGTTAGGTAGCAAATATGAGAATCTGAGCATCATTTATCCTTATGTTTTAACAGTAATTACAATAAGATACCATACCTTGATTATACATACTAGACTGGAAAATAAAAATTTAATGTCAGATACCTTAAATTTGAACATACTTATGGAAATACAAGTCCATTTTCAATAATTCATGTATACTACCTGTTGGCGCTGAGTTGATTCCAACTCATAGTGACCCTATAGGACAGAGCAGAACTGCCCCACAGGGTCTCCAAGGAGTGGCTGGTGGATTCGAACTGCCGACCTTTCGGTTAGCAGCTGAGCTCTTAACCACTGTGCCATCAGGGCTCCTCTCATGTATACTAGTTTAAGGAAATCAAAACTGTTTATCTTTAAAGTATTCCAGTTGATCAGATAAATATGAATAAGTACTTAATTATTAAATATTACTAATGGCATAGTCTTGCTCTTTTTCTCTGTTACGTATGTTTAAGTAAAAATTCTCGCATCTTGATGTCCTGTAAAAAACTATAACTCTTAAATGGTTGATTTCAAGTCCAAGAACGCTTTAATCTTATACCTTATCAAACTTTACATATATGGCTATGCTTCTCCCTGTGTAATATAT